CGATAGCTCTGATCGGTACCACGACCCGGTGTGGATGGTGATTGTCGGGCGACAGGGTCTCGTCAGTAGGTGGCCCTTCTGCTACTGACTCAAATATTTTCCCGACCCTTCTCCGTCGTTCTTCTTCCCCTGCTTAAGCCTCGGGCAGTCTTTTTTCAGGTGGCCCAGCTGGTTGCATAAAAAGCACGGCCCAAGGGCTCGGCTTGGCGCATCCACGCCGTTGATCGTGGGCTGCTGGGTCGATCCACGAAATCGAGGGCCCTCCCGGGAGCTCAATCTCGCCCACTGCATCAGTGCATCCGTTGACTCGGCTTCTCGAACGGCGTCGTTGAAGCTTCGTGGCCGGGTTCGTCGGACTTCATACTGGATTTCATATTATAAACCTGCCACGTAGCGATCCAACCGTTCCGCGTCGCTCATATCATCCACTTGATCCGCCAAGTTGCAGAATACACTGGTGTAGTCTTGGACCGAAGCCAGCTGCTTCCAGGCACGCAGCTTCATGCGAGCAGAATCCGAGGCGGATATATGCTCGAATCTGGTTCGCAAGGCGGCGCCCCACTCCCTCCATGTGCGTATCGTGGCCGTCCCAAAAATCGATGTTGCCTGATGCGTGACAGGTGTTGAAGTCCCGTCGTTCGCACGTGCTGCTCCTGCCGAAGTCCCTTCGTGCTGCAGCGTTCGCCTCCACCACTCCAGCGCAGGTCCTCGCAATAGTGAAACTACGAAATTAATGCGGGTGGCATCGTCATTAATCATGGCAGCATTAAAAAACACCTCCACGCCGAACAACCATGCAGAAACATGACAAAGTTAGGAGAAAGAAAGAGGAAAGGGGATTGAACTAGCAAGAATGAGGATACAAATAGCAAACCCTAAAAAGGTTGTACTCGCTACAGAGCACCCCACTACAGGCTAGAACATAAGATAATATTCTGACACACCCCCATAGCCAAAGTGGGGTGTAATCAGCAGAGCAGGCAAAGCAGTACAAGCTCAGGGTGGATCACAATGTCACCACACAATCTGAGCACAAGTTCAAGAAGAAATAGTTTAGAGTTCACAATTATGAGCAAAGCTAGTGGTAGTCACAACGGGCAAGTGAGGAGGAGGAGAGAGAGTGAGGGGAGAGGAGATAGGAGGCGACGGCTGAAGCTGCAGACACACGGGCAACAGGAGGCAGACTGGCACAGCGGCTACCGGACAGCGCCCGGACTACAGGAGTAACAGGCCCCGCGGCTCAAGTAGCGGCAGACGGGCAACGGACCCACGGGCGGCTGGCGTAGAAGTCTAGCTCACTGGGCTACCGGGACAGCGCCCCGGACTACAGGTGCTGCTGACGACAAACTGGCAACCTCCGCTCATCCTCCCGCACACAGTCCCACCCCCCTGATACACACCCGCTGCTACACCGCTAGCTCCACTCCCACGCACCCCCCTTAAACCCTAAACCCCAGTCTCCCACACAACCACCCCCCTCAGCGACAGCTGCAGCTGTGGGAGACGAAGGAGGAGGAGGAGCAAAGGGAGGAAAGCACACCGGCCACCCTCATACCCGCCACCCCACAGCTCGCCACCCCATAAGCAAATGGGGGGGGGAGGAGGGGGGGGGGGGGGGGGGGGGGGGGGGCGCGAAGTGGGGCGGCGGGGCCACGAAGTGGGGCGGCGGGGCCGCGACGGGTCGGTGGCGGGGCCGCGACGGGTCGGTGGCGGGGCCACAACCGGAGTTGGCGGGGCCGCGACCGGAATTGGCGGGGCCGCGACCGGAGTTGGCGGGGCCGCGACCGGAGTTGGCGGGGCCGCGACCGAAGGCGGCTGGGCCGCGACGCGAGGCGGCAGGGCCGCGACCGGAGGTGGCGGGGCCGCGACGGGTCTGTGGAGGGGCCGCGACCGAAGGTGGCGGGGCCGCGACCGGAGTAGGGCGGCGGGGCCGCGACGGGTCCCCGTCGCCCGTCGCGACGCCTCCAGAGCGGGACGCGGCGAACGCCGCGAGGCAGACGCCCGCCGCGCGCCTCGGGGCGCACAGCGGGCAGAGAACCGCCGCGCGCCTCGGGGCGCACGGCGGGCAGAACTAGCAAGAATGAGGATACAAATAGCAAACCCTAGAAGGGTTGTACTCGCTATAGAGCACCCCACTACAGGCTAGAACATAAGATAATATTCTGACAAAACAGTGACGAACTTGTCACTTGGGTTAAACGGGGGCGGGTTCGTCGGCTTGATTTTGACAAAAGCCGTTGTTGCCATCGGGGCCGTTGGTATTGCTGTCTGCGTCGCCGTCGTCGTCGTTGCTGCATGTGTCGGTGCTGCACGCGACTGTTGCGGCTGTACCTGGCTCGCCTCATCCGCATCCATCTCGCCTTCCAGCTCGCTCCAGACCCGCTCATCTGGTGCAGTGCTGCTACTTGCGTCGTCCACAACAGGCGACTCCCGGCGCGCTTCACCACGCGCCTGGTGTAGTTCGGCGTTTTCTGCCCTCAGGCGCTCCAACTCGTCAGACATAGTCTGCATGTTGGTCTGCATCGCCCGAAACTGTTGCATGAGCTCGTTGAACTCCGCCTGGTCCATATGTCGCAGGCTTCGTCTAACGGGCAGGGGGTGACTAGCGATTTTTCTGACTTTCGTGAAGGCGTTAATGCTATCGTAGTCGGAGTGGAATAATCGGATCTATTCCACGGGCCGACCGCTTAACAGCCCACCAAGTCTATCGCTCCCCTTCTACAAACTACCCCGGAAACGCGAGGGTAACCTAGGAAAGTAGCTCTGATACCAGGTGTTATGAGTTGTATGAAAGAAGAGTGCGCAGAATTCAATATCGCGGAAGTGATTACAACTACTGAGAGCACAACGAGGCCTAGGACTAATATAGCGAGGCTAGCTGGGCCGAGGTTGTAGGGTCGCAGGATGGCTGGGTGCAGGTCCGGGGTTGTGGAACCCGAAAGCGACGCGATAGTGGTTCGGAAAGCGAGGTCGTCGGACCGAGCCTGGTTTTCCGAAAAGTCAGGTTTGTACGCGTACAGTGTGACCCAGTAAGGAATCCGAAAAATTCCTTACAGTGGATGTTGAAGGGGAGGAGGTAAAGAGGAGCCAGTTTGGTGTGGAGTTTCCACACAGTAACTTGTACCAACAGATGGTTCTAGAGACAGCCTAGAGTATACTGCTCGCCTAAATTGGTGAACAACATGAGATGTATGTTGAATAAATGAATGAAGGTGTTGCTGATGCTGACCAGCGGTGTGTCTCAATCCCTTGGCACTGCCCTAACTCTACCCAAGACTAGTGGTGTTGTCTCTGCCCTAACACCAGAAAATGGTACCCGGTACAAATCTGTGCCTGCCTGCCAGTCCTATTGTTAAGATACGTGGTGCATTTGCTGCTGGTGCTGATGGCTGTGGGTGCCTACTGTTAGCAGGCCCCATCCTGCACCAGGTAGAGCGCTTGTTACACCTGCTGCTGAGGAAGGTTAACCCGTCTGTGACCGCCTACCTTCCAATGTTACATGACCTGGACTCTAGCCCCAGCTGCTGCGGGCTGTTCTTTGGAATGCCCAGGAACCCCCTGCTGCTGCTCATTGTCCTTGGAATGCCCGAAAACCCCTGCTGCTGCACGCTTTACTCCCTCCAGCTGCACCCCTGCTGTCGTGTAGTAATGGGAGCTCAGGTAACTGTGACACACACTTCACCAGCATCACTGAATGGTAAGTAGGACCAGTCAACAGGCCCGTTGACTGAAGAATAACAAGAGATTGGCTTCTCGGTATAATACCACGCTGGCTTGCTTGCTTGCACGGGGTAGTTGCAGGCAGCCCCCTTCCCCCTCCCTCTTTTTGTGTTTTGACGGCATAACACACCGGTCCGTCACATGTGGATGGCGAATTCGCACGTGCAACCGACGATCCGCGTATGATGAGGCTACTTTCCAGGCCCTTTCCAGACTACGTCTCAAAACTGAGGCTATTTTTTCCGGCACTGGAATGAGAGCCTCACCACACGCGGACTCCCCGTCACAACCGAATGGCAACGTTCAGCCGGCCAGAGCCCTTGGGCACATCGAAAAAGCGCTCCACTTGCTGGCCCCTGAAGGACACTCTCACCCGGTACCTGGTGGGAGAGATGTGAAGGGAGGGGCGTGGAGGCAAGGTAAACTGGATGGTAACGTTCAGCCGGCCAGAGCCCTTGGGCACATCGAAGAAGCGCTCCACTTGCTGGCCCCTGAAGGACACTCTCACCTGATGGGAATGATGGCAGGGACGAGAAGAGATGAGTGAAACAAAGAGAAGAGTGATCAGATGAGTGAATGTTCTGGGCACATCAAAGAAGCGCTCCACCTGCTGTTTCCTGAAAGACACTCTCACCCGGTACCTGAAGGGAGGGGTGTGGATGAGATGAGTGAAACAAAGAGAAGAGTGATCAGATGAGTGAATGTTCTGGGCACATCAAAGAAGCGCTCCACCTGCTGTTCCCTGAAAGACACTCTCACCCGGTACCTGAAGGGAGGGAAGTGAATGATGTGAACCAAAGAAAAGAGTGAGACGATTAATGAACACCTTGGGCAGATATTAGGGCTTCTCCTGCTGGCCTCTCAAAAGGACCCTCATTTAGCACCTGAAGGGACTAGAGTTGCGGATTGTTTTGATTCTGCATTAGGAGGATACCTGCTGAACCACCTACCTGCCGCGCAATGCTGAGCCGCCCACTTGCCGTAGAAATGCTATGAAGGAGCAGTGGAGAGGAGGGGGAGGGGAGGGGGGGGGCGCGGGGCGCCGGGCTCGTTATGCAAAGTGGGTGCGTGGCTTGACCAAATACACTCTCTGCCATGCCATCGGACGCTGAGCAACACTAAATCTGAACCCTACCGCTGGCGCAATGGTTCACCAAGAGTCGTTTTTTTAGTCGACTCAAAAACAGACTCATCACCGTTGGCGGACAGGAGTGGTTCACCAATAGGAGGAACGTGAGCGTGCGCCTACCTACCTGCCGTGAAACAATGCGCGGGGATCAATGTTCATCGTGGAGTACAATGCGCGGGGATCAATGTTCATCGTGGAGTACAATGCGCGGGGATCAATGTTCATCGTGGAGTACAATGCGCGGGGATCAATGTTCATCGTGGAGTACAATGCGCGGGGATCAATGTTCATCGTGGAGTACAATGCGCGGGGATCAATGTTCATCGTGGAGTACAATGCGCGGGGATCAATGTTCATCGTGGAGTACAATGCGCGGGGATCAATGTTCATCGTGGAGTACAATGCGCGGGGATCAATGTTCATCGTGGAGTACAATGCGCGGGGATCAATGTTCATCGTGGAGTACAATGCGCGGGGATCAATGTTCATCGTGGAGTACAATGCGCGGGGATCAATGTTCATCGTGGAGTACAATGCGCGGGGATCAATGTTCATCGTGGAGTACAATGCGCGGGGATCAATGTTCATCGTGGAGTACAATGCGCGGGGATCAATGTTCATCGTGGAGTACAATGCGCGGGGATCAATGTTCATCGTGGAGTACAATGCGCGGGGATCAATGTTCATCGTGGAGTACAATGCGCGGGGATCAATGTTCATCGTGGAGTACAATGCGCGGGGATCAATGTTCATCGTGGAGTACAATGCGCGGGGATCAATGTTCATCGTGGAGTACAATGCGCGGGGATCAATGTTCATCGTGGAGTAGCTGCAAAATTACCTACCTGCCGTGAAACAATGCGCGGGTATAACTTCTTTTCCAATGAGTTGCAACCCTACGTGCCATGCAATGCACCGCTGAGCCACCCACCTGCCCTGGAACGCTGTGAAGGAGAGGGGCGAGTTTAGCCGGGATCGCCTTGCAAAGTGAGTGCTCCACTCAGCTCTTAAAGCTTGGTACCTGGTGGGGTGATGGGAGACGGGAGATGGGGAAGGAGGTGGGAGTGGGAGAGGGACAGGGCGAAGGAGGAGGGGAGGGAGGAGGAGAGGAGCAGGAGGAGAGGAGAGGGAAGAGGGGAGAGGGAGGAGCAGAGAGGGAGGAGCGGAGAGGGAGAAGAGGAGATGGAGGAAGGGGGGAGGGAGGAAGGGAGAGGGGAGGAGGAGAGGGGGAGGAGGGGAGGGGGAGGAAGGGATTGGGGGGGGAGGGGAGGGGGAGTTAAGGAGAGGGAAGAGGGGAGAGGGAGGAGGTGAGTGGAAAAGGGGAGAGAAGGAGGGGAGGAGAGGAGGGGAAGGGGAAGAGGGGAAGGAGAGGAGGGGAGGGGGAAGAGGGGGGAAGAAGGAGAGGAGAGAAGAGGAGAGGAGGAGAGTAAAGGAGCAGAGAGGAGAGGATGGGTGGGCGGAAGGGTGGGTGGGAGGGAGAGATGGAAGGAAGAGGTTAGGTGGTGTGGAACAGTATGGTACATAGAGCAGTGCTCGCGAGTACCTTGGTTTGGGAAACGGGCTGAGTTTCATGGTTCGGCCGAGCCAGATCACTCTGCCCAGGTGGGTGCTCCATTCCTTGCGCAGGCGCACAAACCTGGAGAGAGGTGATGGGCAGAGGAGGAACGATGGATGGTGAGGTGTTGGGCAGAGGAAAGATGGGTGGTGAGGTGTTGGGCAGAGGAAAGATGGGTGGTGAGGTGATGGGCAGAGGAGGAAAGATGGGTGGCGAGGTGATGGGCAGAGGAGGAAAGATGGGTGGTGAGGTGATGGGCAGAGGAGGAAAGATGGGTGGTGAGGTGATGGGCAGAGGAGGAAAGATGGGTGGTGAGGTGATGGGCAGAGGAGGAAAGATGGGTGGTGAGGTGATGGGCAGAGGAGGAAAGATGGGTGGTGAGGTGATGGGCAGAGGAGGAAAGATGGGTGGTGAGGTGATGGGCAGAGGAAAGATGGGTGGTGAGGTGATGGGCAGAGGAAAGATGGGTGGTGAGGTGATGGGCAGAGGAAAGATGGGTGGTGAGGTGATGGGCAGAGGAAAGATGGGTGGTGAGGTGATGGGCAGAGGAAAGATGGGTGGTGAGGTGATGGGCAGAGGAAAGATGGGTGGTGAATGGGGGCTGAAGGGCATTGGGACATGCAGCATAAGACCGAAGGTGGTTGGAATGGGAAGCACTGGCTTGAGATGAGATGGGATACATCTTTGCCATTCGATGGATAAGTGGAGCGAGCTTTTGAAAGCGAGACTCGCTCAGTTATCCATCGCATGGCACTACTGCTGCTGCTGCTTACCTCAGCGGGAGTTGGCTTTCGAGTCGCCTCAAAAGCCATCTTGAAAGTGAAACACGCTCCCTTATCCATCGCATGGCACCACTGCTGCTGCTGGTTACCTCCGTCAGGAGAAGCTGTACTGAGAAAAGATGGTTCTTGTTCCATACGTGGTTATCCTTCAAAATCTTTCAAAAACCAGCTTTTCTCAGCACATCTCCTGACAACGCCAATCCAGATAATGCTGCGACTCTGCTCCAGAACAACCCCCGAAAATTGCAGGGCCAACCGTTCGCCTTCTGTTACACCCGCTCCCAGCTCTCATTGTTTCCCTGCCTTGTCTTCCATCATTTCTTAGTCGACTGTCAAATACCGCCTCCCATCGTACCCGCTTGACTTTTGAGTCGACTGTCAAATACCTCCTCCCATCGTACCCGCGCAAAATTCTCAAGCTCTCACCTTTTCCCCGCCCCGTTATCTGTGAAACTCGAATCCGCCAGGCAAGCGTCACAGGCGTTGCACATGCTCGAGTCAATGTCCTTGTAGAATTCGCACGTGGACCGCCCAGAAGACCACAGCACGGTGCTGTGGCTGAAATGTCACCTCGACTCACACCCGCTCCCAGCTCTCACCTTTTCCCCGCCTCGTTATCTGTGAAGCTTGAATCCGCCAGGCAAGCGTCACAGGCGTTGCACATGCCCGAGTCAATGTCCTTGTAGAACTCGCACGTGGACCGCCCTGCCGACCACAGCACCATGCCCGCCACCGAGGGATGCGAGAAGGCCTCCCGCATCACCGCCTCGAGATAGTCGGCTCGTTGTTCATCCGACTCCACCTCGCTGAAATCGAGCTCTGTCAGCCAGATGGGGAGTTTGGCCATTGCCAGGCGATTCAGGTCGTGCTTCAAGCGAACCTGAAGGGAGAGAAGATGAGGAGAAGGGAGGAGGTGGAGAGATGAGGGCAAGGCCCGGGATACTAGGAGAGCAGAGTCACACAACCTGCCGACCACAGCACCATGCCCGCCACCGAGGGATGCGAGAAGGCCTCTCACATCACCGCTTCCAGGTAGTCCGCCCTTTGTTCATCAGACTCCACTTCGCTGAAATCGAGCTCCGTCAGCCAGATGGGGAGCTTCGCCATGGCTAGCCGGTTCAGATCGTGCTTCAAACGAACATGAAGGGAGAAGATGAGGAGGAGGAGGGAGGTGGAGAGATGAGGAGAAGGAGGGAGGTGGAGAGATGAGGAGAAGGCGGGAGGTGGAGAGATGAGGAGAAGGCGGGAGGTGGAGAGATGAGGGCAAGGCTACACGGGCGGTTCAGGTCATACTTCAAACGGACCTGAAGGAGAAGATGAGTAGAGGAGGTGAGGAAATGAAAGGCAAGCAAGGGTAGGAGGAGAGGGAGTCACACAACCGGCCGATCACAGCACCATGACGGCCGCCAAGGGATGAGCAAAGGCCTCACTCATCAGGGCACCATGCCGGCCGCCTTTTGAGGTGCCTCAAAAGCCGTCTCCTGTTTTGACGCGCCTCAAAAGCCTATGGAAGTACTTTTTTGATGAACCGTCGGGAGGGTGGAGACCGGCGGCCTTTTACATCTTGCCTAAGCTTCACAAGAGAATCCCCGTGGGGCGACCGATCGCAGCCTCACATTCATGGGTGACGACCAACGTGAGCAGGTGGCTGGATGCTGAATTACGACCGCTGGTTCTTAAGAGACAGACCTACCTCCGCGACTCCCTCTCTCTACTGACCACGCTCGAACGGACCCCCTTTCCCACGACGGTCCTTCTTGCTACCTACGACGTCACCTCACTCTACCCCAGCATCTCCATTGAGCGAGGCCTCGAGGCGGTCAATTGTTTCCTATCGAGAGAGAACCCGCAGTTCGCACAACCTCTCATGGCTCTTCTGGGTTGGGTCATGAGGAACTCTTTCGTGGAGTTCAACGGCGAGGTGTTTCAACAGGTTCGAGGTACTGCTATGGGGACTCCAGTAGCTGTGTGCTTCGCCATCCTCTTCATGAGCCGTTTAGACGAACTGCTTAAAGAAAGGTGGACAGGGACGGAACCTTCCTACCACGTGCGCTATATTGATGATGGGCTAATCATTTGGCCTGGTACGCGGGCAGATTTGGAGGGCTACCTGCAGACCCTGAATGCAATTGACCCGAACATTCGGGTTATGTGGACCGTCTCAGAGAGCTCGATCGATTTCCTTGACATGGTCCTTTTCAAAGGACCACGCTTTAAAGAGCACGGGATCTTGGACTTCGGCACCTTCCAGAAGCCGCTGAACAAGTACCTGTGTCTGCCTTTTTCCTCCTTCCACCCACGCCACTGCAAGGAGGGGTTCATTCGTGCTGAGCTGAAACGCTACCTACTTCGTTCGACTTCAGCATCGACCTTCCTCGCTACGAAGTTGGCTTTCTTCCAGCGACTTCGGGATCGTGGTTACCCACCAGCTTTTCTACTCCCACTCTTCAAGCGTGTCTGTTTCGCTCAACGGCCCCACCTTCTCGCCAACATCGCCACCACCCAGTTACTCAAGCAACAGCAATCTCTCTCTCGTCCCGTGGGCCCCTAGTCCTGAAGGCACAGTTCCCTTATCGCAGTTACTCAAGCAACAGCAATCTCTCTCTCGTCCCGTGGGCCCCTAGTCCTGAAGGCACAGTTCCCTTATCGCAGTTACTCAAGCAACAGCAATCTCTCTCTCGTCCCGTGGGCCCCTAGTCCTGAAGGCACAGTTCCCTTATCGCAGTTACTCAAGCAACAGCAATCTCTCTCTCGTCCCGTGGGCCCCTAGTCCTGAAGGCACAGTTCCCTTATCGCAGTTACTCAAGCAACAGCAATCTCTCTCTCGTCCCGTGGGCCCCTAGTCCTGAAGGCACAGTTCCCTTATCGCAGTTACTCAAGCAACAGCAATCTCTCTCTCGTCCCGTGGGCCCCTAGTCCTGAAGGCACAGTTCCCTTATCGCAGTTACTCAAGCAACAGCAATCTCTCTCTCGTCCCGTGGGCCCCTAGTCCTGAAGGCACAGTTCCCTTATCGCAGTTACTCAAGCAATAGCAATCTCTCTCTCGTCCCGTGGGCCCCTAGTCCTGAAGGCACAGTTCCCTTATCGCAGTTACTCAAGCAACAGCAATCTCTCTCTAGTCCCGTGGGCCCCTAGTCCTGAAGGCACAGTTCCCTTATCGCAGTTACTCAAGCAACAGCAATCTCTCTCTCGTCCCGTGGGCCCCTAGTCCTGAAGGCACAGTTCCCTTATCGCAGTTACTCAAGCAACAGCAATCTCTCTCTCGTCCCGTGGGCCCCTAGTCCTGAAGGCACAGTTCCCTTATCGCAGTTTCTCAAGCAACAGCAATCTCTCTCTCGTCCCGTGGGCCCCTAGTCCTGAAGGCACAGTTCCCTTATCGCAGTTACTCAAGCAACAGCAATCTCTCTCTCGTCCCGTGGGCCCCTAGTCCTGAAGGCACAGTTCCCTTATCGCAGTTACTCAAGCAACAGCAATCTCTCTCTCGTCCCGTGGGCCCCTAGTCCTGAAGGCACAGTTCCCTTATCGCAGTTACTCAAGCAACAGCAATCTCTCTCTCGTCCCGTGGGCCCCTAGTCCTGAAGGCACAGTTCCCTTATCGCAGTTACTCAAGCAACAGCAATCTCTCTCTCTTCCCGTGGGCCCCTAGTCCTGAAGGCACAGTTCCCTTATCGCAGTTACTCAAGCAACAGCAATCTCTCTCTCGTCCCGTGGGCCCCTAGTCCTGAAGGCACAGTTCCCTTATCGCAGTTACTCAAGCAACAGCAATCTCTCTCTCGTCCCGTGGGCCCCTAGTCCTGAAGGCACAGTTCCCTTATCGCAGTTACTCAAGCAACAGCAATCTCTCTCTCTTCCCGTGGGCCCCTAGTCCTGAAGGCACAGTTCCCTTATCGCAGTTACTCAAGCAACAGCAATCTCTCTCTCGTCCCGTGGGCCCCTAGTCCTGAAGGCACAGTTCCCTTATCGCAGTTACTCAAGCAACAGCAATCTCTCTCTCGTCCCGTGGGCCCCTAGTCCTGAAGGCACAGTTCCCTTATCGCAGTTACTCAAGCAACAGCAATCTCTCTCTCGTCCCGTGGGCCCCTAGTCCTGAAGGCACAGTTCCCTTATCGCAGTTACTCAAGCAACAGCAATCTCTCTCTCGTCCCGTGGGCCCCTAGTCCTGAAGGCACAGTTCCCTTATCGCAGTTACTCAAGCAACAGCAATCTCTCTCTCGTCCCGTGGGCCCCTAGTCCTGAAGGCACAGTTCCCTTATCGCAGTTACTCAAGCAACAGCAATCTCTCTCTCTTCCCGTGGGCCCCTAGTCCTGAAGGCACAGTTCCCTTATCGCAGTTACTCAAGCAACAGCAATCTCTCTCTCGTCCCGTGGGCCCCTAGTCCTGAAGGCACAGTTCCCTTATCGCAGTTACTCAAGCAACAGCAATCTCTCTCTCGTCCCGTGGGCCCCTAGTCCTGAAGGCACAGTTCCCTTATCGCAGTTACTCAAGCAACAGCAATCTCTCTCTCGTCCCGTGGGCCCCTAGTCCTGAAGGCACAGTTCCCTTATCGCAGTTACTCAAGCAACAGCAATCTCTCTCTCGTCCCGTGGGCCCCTAGTCCTGAAGGCACAGTTCCCTTATCGCAGTTACTCAAGCAACAGCAATCTCTCTCTCGTCCCGTGGGCCCCTAGTCCTGAAGGCACAGTTCCCTTATCGCAGTTACTCAAGCAACAGCAATCTCTCTCTCGTCCCGTGGGCCCCTAGTCCTGAAGGCACAGTTCCCTTATCGCAGTTACTCAAGCAACAGCAATCTCTCTCTCTTCCCGTGGGCCCCTAGTCCTGAAGGCACAGTTCCCTTATCGCAGTTACTCAAGCAACAGCAATCTCTCTCTCGTCCCGTGGGCCCCTAGTCCTGAAGGCACAGTTCCCTTATCGCAGTTACTCAAGCAACAGCAATCTCTCTCTCTTCCCGTGGGCCCCTAGTCCTGAAGGCACAGTTCCCTTATCGCAGTTACTCAAGCAACAGCAATCTCTCTCTCGTCCCGTGGGCCCCTAGTCCTGAAGGCACAGTTCCCTTATCGCAGTTACTCAAGCAACAGCAATCTCTCTCTCGTCCCGTGGGCCCCTAGTCCTGAAGGCACAGTTCCCTTATCGCAGTTACTCAAGCAACAGCAATCTCTCTCTCGTCCCGTGGGCCCCTAGTCCTGAAGGCACAGTTCCCTTATCGCAGTTACTCAAGCAACAGCAATCTCTCTCTCGTCCCGTGGGCCCCTAGTCCTGAAGGCACAGTTCCCTTATCGCAGTTACTCAAGCAACAGCAATCTCTCTCTCGTCCCGTGGGCCCCTAGTCCTGAAGGCACAGTTCCCTTATCGCAGTTACTCAAGCAACAGCAATCTCTCTCTCGTCCCGTGGGCCCCTAGTCCTGAAGGCACAGTTCCCTTATCGCAGTTACTCAAGCAACAGCAATCTCTCTCTCGTCCCGTGGGCCCCTAGTCCTGAAGGCACAGTTCCCTTATCGCAGTTACTCAAGCAACAGCAATCTCTCTCTCGTCCCGTGGGCCCCTAGTCCTGAAGGCACAGTTCCCTTATCGCAGTTACTCAAGCAACAGCAATCTCTCTCTCGTCCCGTGGGCCCCTAGTCCTGAAGGCACAGTTCCCTTATCGCAGTTACTCAAGCAACAGCAATCTCTCTCTCGTCCCGTGGGCCCCTAGTCCTGAAGGCACAGTTCCCTTATCGCAGTTACTCAAGCAACAGCAATCTCTCTCTCGTCCCGTGGGCCACTAGTCCTGAAGGCACAGTTCCCTTATCGCAGTTACTCAAGCAACAGCAATCTCTCTCTCTTCCCGTGGGCCCCTAGTCCTGAAGGCACAGTTCCCTTATCGCAGTTACTCAAGCAACAGC